TAATGTGAAGGGTGTTGAAATGAATATAAAGAGGATACCTACTATCAACTAGATTCCCTAAATATTGTTCTAAAATAGTGGTGCTATTTGTTTTTGTTGTTGTTGCTAATAATTTATTTTTTTATGATAAGGAAGTCTGTGGGAGTTTTGTATATGATAAGGCTGAATGATTGAATTATATTAGTTAAATGCCTTTTTGCTTGTGTTGTGGCCAAAGGAAATTGGATTAGGTCTTAAAAATAAGATTCCTTCTACAAGTAATCAGCCAGTGAGAATGGGACACAAATAAATATGAAAACAGATAAGATTGGTAACATGGGGGTTTGATTGTAAGGGCAGTTTTTGGCATGAATCTTAATGCATAAGGTTCTTTTTGGTTGCATTTCAGGTGCAGCCTTTGGAAGAGATTTGGGTATTTTGCCCATTTGGATGAATTAACAGGAATACTCTTTTTTTTTTTTTTTTTTTTTTTTTTGTTTTTTCAAAAGAATTTCTTTTTTTTTTTTTTTTTTTTTTTTTTTTGACTTTTCCTTTTTCCTTTCTAGCTATGGCAGAACTTGTGCTTCAAATTTCGCATCAACAGATGAAAAGGAAGTGGGTAATATTCTTTTTTGTCTTTTCTCTTTGTTTTTCTCATTAAACCCCTCCTTTAATTTGTCTACCCATTCTTCTCAGGTGCATTTATAGTGAAAAATATTATTTTGCTCTATCAACAGTAGCTGTATTTTACCATTTAAAATTAAAATTTCAACGTTTTGATATTCAGTAGGAATAATTTTGCATCACACAATATAATTTTTTTTAATGTAAATATGTATAAATATGACTTTTAAAAAATTAATTTAACAGTTTAAAGCGCTAATTCTTATAGAGTAAAATAATTTACTCCACCATAAAAATTCTCATCATTTCAATTGTATCAAAAATTGACTTTTCAAATAAAAGCAAATGGTTAAAATTGTTGACTGTGTAAACTCGGTTTGGAACCAGTCTTGTGACAAATTTCCTGTAGGCTGACCTAATTCTCAACCACATATTTTCTATAGCTAATCGTCAACTATTTTACTAGTTCTCAAAAAATGGAGCTTGTAATACAATTGACCGCCTAAGCCAATAGCCACATTAGCCGTGGAATGAAGTAGCCGATGATGATTGTTGGTTACCAAATTTGCCTAAAGTACATTCAAGTCAAAAATAAAATAAAATAAAAAATAAAAATAGAAAGTGCCTAGCATACAAGGTACTAACCAAGTCAATCATCAATTTGCCGTTTATATTATGTCCCACTTGGACTTTTGTATTTTCCAATTGGAATTTTTAACATCCATATTCATAAAAACATATCCATTCCCTTTCCAAAAAAAAAAAAAAAAACCATATCCATTTCTTTTTTTGACAAAAAATTTAAAATGGTATCGTTGAAAAATGATCAACTATCTCCATGTCATTATATTTCCATAACAGATATATTCACTATAAACGACCTTGATGTAAGTCATGCCGGTCTACTTTCAAAATTTAGGACCTTCCCCAAATTTCTCTCTCTCATTTTTTTTCCTTCTTCTTCTTCTTTTATATATATATATATATATATTAAAAAAAAAGAGCCAAATGGGAGTTGGACACATGTGGCAATTATTCATAAAATTCTATCAGTCGTGCAGCCAACTAGAGACTCGACATATCACCTGGTCACTAGCCACCAAATTTTATCCACAAGTTTGTCATTAAATACTAAGTTCAGCATCGAGTTCGTGTCACCCACAAAGGAGAACGATTACCATGTTGAATCTAAGGTCGGAATGGGATCATCGTTAGTCTTAAGTTGTTTTTGGACGCTTGATCTTTGTCTCCACCTACTGATTTTGTTCTATTAGAGAAGAGTTGAGTCGTCTCGTGATGCATATATTATTCTTTGTAATTACAGTCTGTGTAGGTTCATTAACTGCCAGTCTTTCTTACTGTTTTGTTTCGTTAGTGTTGAGAGGCCTTGCTCTCTTTAGTATTTTGATGTTCTGACTTTTTTTTTTTTTTTTTTTTTTTTTTTTTTTTTTTTTTTTTCATTTTTTGTTTGTCATAACAATAGTTTTTACCCCAATTGATTTAGGTTATTGTTTTGTTTGCTTAGTGTTTGGTTGTCTTTTTCATCCTCAAAGTATGCTTCTTTGCGATTTTTGTCTGAGTCTTCATGTTGTGGATTTTTCGATGTTGGTTGATCGGATTCTTTGCATCAACTGTAGATTATCTGTTAAAGAGCTATATATATGTGCTCGATTTGTGTACTTCTTTATGTGGCTTTCATTTTGTCTAGTTCGATACATACTTTTTTCTTGAGTTTTATTTGAGTTTACAAATGAAATCAGTTAATTGTCACAGCTGAGTTTCCTATGAAAAGAGCTACATGTATGGATTAACTTTTGTAATGTCTTTTCATGCTTTAAAAATAGATTATCCATTTAATAAAATAGAGTTGGAAACTAGTAAAGCCATACCCCATTTAGTACATTTTTCACTTCTCAACTTAAAGAAGTTAATTTTCAAACCAAAAAGCTTGTAGTAGTTGGTTTTGTTCTTCCAAGTTCTCACTTATAATTGCATTTTCTTAACATTAAATCCAATTAAAATCACATCAAAATAAATTAGTATCTTGATTCTAAAAAAAAAAGAAGAAAAAATTGGTACCTTTATAACAAAAAAAAAAAGGAATGTACTCCCCTAATTTACCTCTTTGATTTTGTATTACTCCTCTAAAATTATACTCCTTTTAAATTAGTACATAAAGAAAAAAAAATGATTGAAATCTTGTTTAAATAAAGGTATAAATTTCGTAAAAAACAGTGAGGGAGTAAATTGTTATGTTCATCAGATAAGCATACCTCTATATTTCCTTTGTAAATATCACTTGTTTATAAACTTAGCGGTAACTTTTTTTTTAAATGAAATTATTGTACTTTTAAATAGTATTTGTCAAGATTACATTTTATTTTTTATAGGCGGTAATTATTAATGAGGTATAATAACTCTATCACCTATACCATAAAAAAGAAAAAAGAAAAAAGAGAAAGATAATATAGTGTATTCACTCATACACTATGTGCGTGATTATTTTTCGCTTGACCTAATGTGATTCTTACCAACACATGCTACATTATATAACGAGAAAGTGTACATTTTTTTAGGGCATTGAAAGTGTACATCTTTTAGTGGAGACAATTCTTGTTATCATTCCACTTGTCAAAAAAACAAAGATTATTTGTAAAATGCTCCTGAAATCTGGTTATTAATGTGATTTTGTCTTCCGAACTACAAAAAGCACACTTCATGCGTCTAAAAATGACACTACAAAGTATTCATAACACATTGTAATGTTTACAAAGGCCCCTTCTGTCACAATTTTGCTAATTTTTGCTTATGAGAGTTAAATTTATGATATTAAAATCTAATTTCAAAATATGTAATTTTTATTTATTATAAAAAATATTTAAAAACTAATGTTATTTTTAAAACAATGTATATATATAATATACATATTTTTTTTTTCTTTCCATCGCACATGGTCTTCCACATTTTGCATCTGCCATTAGAAATGCTTCCACTTCATTTACTTTCTTCCTTCTTCTTCAACTCACATAAGAAAAACATACCTTACAAACTAAAAAAAAAAAAAAAAAAGGAAAATGACATGAAAGGTCAGTTTGCTTTGGGGACCCCAAGTTGTGGGATCAAACGGCCCAGTATGAAGGAACATGAAAAATATTATATATTTAAAGAATACAGTCTTATTAATTACTATAAAGTTTTTTATTAATTATTTAATTTATTATAATAATTAAATTAATATTTTAATATTAAAATATTAATATTCATTTACAAGTAAATATTAGAACAACAATTAAAAATACACACGTATATATATATTTTATTTTTGCTTTAGCTTAAGTTCCTCTGTGGTCCAAAGAAAAGGACACCTTGTATCCTACATACGCACACCCAGAAAGTGAAAGGCATTAAAGTGATTACGCACTGTTCATCAGGCATTTTCGTCAATTCGGAAACTTTTTAGAAACTGAGAACCCATTTAGTTAGAAAATTCGTTCCTTAATTTAAATTAGGGTTTATATTCACTATAATTTTTTTTTTTTAAAAAAATACATATAAATTAAAAATAATTTTAATCTCATAATTTTAATTCAGGAATCAAACGGATTCCGAATCTCACCTCTCCGACTCCACTCCAGCCTTCCTCCCCTCGATCCCCGCGACTGAAACGC